ACTAAACTGAATCTATCCCTTATATAAATTGACACCCAAAGAGGCATTAACTCTGATATATTTAATTCTAAAAGGTGAAACTAATATATGAGATAGACTCATTACAGGCAAAGCAAGATAGTTCAAGCAGTGATTTGTCATAATTGTGATGATTATGGATTACAGCTCATGAAAACCCCAAATCCGCAATCTCAGATAATTAGAATATTACATGCAATCAATAAAACATGGATTGTACATAGAACAATATCGGACCTCTGAAAAGTATAAGCATACATATGTACTCAGTACTTGGTTTGGGCCCCTTTTGCAGCAATTACTGCCTCAATGCGGCGTGGCATGGAAGCTATCAGCCTGTGGCACTGAGGTGTTATGAAAGACCAGGATGCTTCAATAGTGGCCTTCAGCTCTTCTGCATTGTTCAGTCTCATGCCTCTCATCTTTTTCTTGGCAATGCCCCATAGATTCTCTATGGGGTTCAGGTCAGGCGAGTTTTCTGGCCAATCAAGTACAGTAATACCATGTCATTGAACCAGGTTTTGGGTCTTGTGGGCAGGTGCCAAGTGCTGCTGGAAAATGAAGTCAGCATCCCCATAAAGCTCATCTGTGGAATGAAGCATGAAGTGCTCCAAAATCTCTTGTTAGACAGCTGTGTTGACCCTGGACTTAATGAAGCACAGTGGACGAACACCAGCAGATGACCAGTGGAAACTTCACACTGGACTTCAAGCATCTTGCAGTGTGTGCCTCTCCATTCTTCCTCCATACTATGGGTCCTTGGTTTCCAAATGAGATTCAAAAGTTGCTCTCATCAGAAAAGAGGACTTTGGACCATTTAGCAACAGACCAGGTTTCTTTAGCCCAGGTAAGATGCTTCTGACGTTGGTTGTTCAGGAGTGGCTTGACAAGAGCAATATGACATTTGAAGCCCATGTCCAGGATCCGTCTGTATGTGGTGGCTCTTGATGCACTGACTCCACCCTCAGTCCACTCCTTGTGAAAGTCCCCAACACTTTTGAATGGCCTTTTCCTGACAATCCTCTCCAGGCTGTCGCCATCCCTGCTGCTTGTGCACCTTTTTCTTCCACACTTTTCCCTTCTACATAACTTTCTATTAATGTGCTTTGATACAGCACTTTGGGAACATCCAACTTCTTTTGCAATTACCTTTTGAGGCTTTCTCTCTTTATGGAGGGTGTCAATTATGGTTTTCTGCACAACTGTCAGGTCAGCAGTCTTTCCCATGATTGTGATTCCTACTGAACCAGACTGAGAGACCATTTAAAGGCTCAGGACACCTGCAAAGGTGTTATGGCTTAATTAGCTGATTAGAGTGGGACACTTTGAGCAATAGCAGTAGACTTATATACCGCTTCATAGGCCTTTCAGGCCTCTCTAAGCGGTTTACAGAGAGTCAGCATATTGCCCCCAACAATCTGGGTCCTCATTTTACCCACCTCGGAAGGATGGAAGGCTGAGTCAACCCTGAGCCGGTGAGATTTGAACCGCTGACCTGCTGATCTAGCAGTAGCCTGCAGTGCTGCACTTAACCACTGCGCCACCTGCGCCTAGAATATTGCACCTTTTCACAATATTCTAATTTTCTGAGATTGTGGATTTGGGGTTTTCATGAGCTGTAAGCCATAACCATCACAATTATGACAAATCACGGCTTCAACTATCTTACTTTGCATGTAATGAGTCTATCTCATATATTAGTTTCACCTTTTAAGTTGCATTACTGGAATAAATGAACTTTTACACAATATTCTAATTTTTTGAGTTTCACCTGTATAAAGGATGCTTATTAATTTCCTAATCATACCTTTTGCCATACTTAATGCTTTGTGCTAGTGAGTGATCTATGCACTTCTTCAAGATAAAGGTATTTAATATTAGCTTAAATTGCTGAACCACATGTGTGTCTCTGAGTTTTCATTTGACAACTCAGTAATATAAGAGTTTTCTAACAATATACAAGTTAGTCATCTATGGGGAGATGCTATTGTATTTTTAGTATAATGCATATACCTACATTTTACATCATTTGCCATATAGAGAAAGGGAAGCTTATCTGTGACAATCATCAAGTCTTTAAAAAATAATGAACAGAAAATAACACTTGTTATATTCACTTTATTTTTCAGCCCCCTCTTTACCCTATTCAAGATGCTTTTGTTTTTGTAGATTTTCACGTGTACAGGTATGCAGGTCTTGGCGTATTTGGGTCTTTTCCCATGTAAGGTTGAGAGTATCTTGGCGACGTTTCGACGAGGTCCCACTCGCCATCTTCAGGCCGGTGCCTTCGGCTTCGTGCTTGTGCGAGCAAAGTGTGATCAGCTGCCCTCTTTTTATAAATATTGGTGGGGGTGTGTGGAGTGCTGGCTTTGTTGCTGTAAGCAGGTTGGTTGGCTGTGTTGTTACATCTTGATTAGTTGATGGAGCTGATGTATGCAGATTAGTCAGCTATTTTGTAGCATCCTGTGTGGCTAAGGTACTAGCTGTGTGCCCATTAGTCTTTTGTGTTGTAACGACTTGGGTAATGGGCTGTGTGATGACATCCTGAACTCTAATGTAGTGACATCCTATGTATGTATGTATGTATGTATGTATGTATGTATGTATGTATGTATGTATGTATATTCCTTCAAGAACTGTAACAAGTGTATCTCGTGCCAGGTTGCTGACAGTCCTTTTTGCACAATCACAATGTCTTCTTTAAGTTTCTCCTCACCCCTCAGTTATATTAGTATATGTGTGGATGTATGGTAAAAAATTGCTAACAAATTGTACCCCTGCTTGGCAACCATATTCCATTTTATTAGCACCAATATTGCAGAATATGTTTCAAAAGGTTGATGGCTAAATTTGATACTTGCTATACAATGATCTAATAAGAAATTATTTTGCATAGGTCCCATCCAAATTGATGGGAACTGTTGAGACAGGAGTTATTTTAATTATGCAGAAAGCACCACATTATTCAATGTCTGTATATGTGTGATTTGGATTCTCCATTCTCAAATATCAATTTGCCCTGGGAATAAACTTCTCATGCCACCTGATGTTTTGTCCATCTGTCTTGAGGGGGTTTTCTCTCTCTCTTTCTCCTCTTCTCACTTTCTCTGAAAATAGTAGCAGTGTCTATTTCTGAACCGGAAATGTGGCAGAAGGGGAACGAAAGAGGGAGGGAGGAGCAAGAGGGAAATGGTAAGGTAGAAAATCTGCTTAAGGTCAGAGGGGGTGAAAAAGAAACAGAGCTGTCCTTACATCTGTCGCAGTCAATTCAACACAACAACATTTTCTTCACGAAAGAAAATACAGAACTTTTTCTATTCTGTGTGAGCTGCCCTGTTGGAATTAGGTGAACCAATTGTGAATGGCTAGAAATTATCCATTGGGAAGTAAATAAACCTTCTTAGGGCTGAATGCAGCCATTGAAGAAGCTGGAAAATATATTGTATATTCACGACCACCAGCAAGAACAGATGGGAAGCAAAGGATTATTTTGATTCAGGATGAAAATTTATCTCTTTCCTCTTCCTTTCTTTCTTTGGAAGAAATACTTCTAACACAGTGATGGAGAACTTATGATACATGTGTCAAAAGTGACATGCCACAATGTTTTGGATGACTCATCAGCATTCACCAATATCTGGCAACAACTATTCTTGAAAATACACTTTGGAGGCTATGGAGGCTATATAAGAATTGGTGTGTTTCTGCATGACCTCCAGGGCCTTCAAAAATCACATGAGAATAGAGCATGTTTGGGTGGTTTGAAGTGCATGTAGAAGCTAAAGAAGAGCATTCTTTAAAGCTTTTTCAAGAATGAAGACCTTGTATGACCCAGAGCAGCCTTTGACAGACCATGGGAGCCAGTTGCACTTTGGACAGCAACACAAAGTAGCATTTTTGAAGTGCTAGGGCTGAAGTTTGAGGCCAAGGCTACTTCTCAGGCTCAGTATCAACATTGCTGCCACTACTGTTCAAGGTGGCTTAAATGTGGAAGGAGATAAATAATTGTTTCTCTTTAGTTTGGGAAGGAGGGTTAGTTGGGGGTGGGTTAGACATTTGCTTAATTTTTGATATGCCAAGCTCAAATGATTTGCCCTTATTGTCCTAACCAATCAACGAAAGATTAATTTTATATTTAAGCATTGAACCATAAACATTTCTATGTTCAATAATGTTGTTGTTGTTTAATGATGAGACAAGATATTTTGTTTATCAGCCAGCTTGAGACAGAATCTAATATTCATTAGGATGAAAGGAAGTGATTGGTCCAAGATCACCCATCTAGTTTCCATGATCCAGGGAGGACTAAAGCTAGGTCTCCGCACTTCTAGTCAAGCTCCTTAATCACTATGTCATACTTATTTTCTTAGGTTTATTGAAGTATATCTGAATGAATATTAAGAAATATTTGATTGATTGATTGATTGATTGATCCAAATTATATCCCGCCTTTCTACAGTAGCCTTTTTCATGCAAAAGATGGATAGTATGTCATATGTGTTCTGATCTGGTCAGCTTTTTCCAATATAGACACAAAGACATAAATCAGGAGAAACATCGATACTAATAAGAAACTCTAAAATGCAAAGTTATTCAACATTGTGTGTGTGCGCGCATGTGCGCATGCATGCGTGTGCGTGTGTAATATGTAAATATGTAAACTACCTGTGGGTACATAGTTGGAAAGTAAGAATTTGGTGGGAATGCATATTACATTAATTATTTTGCACAATTAAGATTTCAAATGGCAATAGGGTCAAGCAAGGATTGTATCACTTTGTAATTACTTTCTAATAATAAATAATACGCAAAGAAAATTGAAGTTTGCCATAACATTTTCTTAAAAATTGTGCCTTACTTGACCACAGGCATATCTCAGCATACAAGCAGAGAACAAACTTGAGTTTGTGGAAAATATGTAAAGTGATAGCCTACCTTTCTTTTCTCTCTTCCCCAATCCTTCTTTCTACCTCACCAATTAGGAGGATGTTTCCATTTCTGAGTTTCAACATCAGCGGGCTGGATCCTGTGGCTCATTATAGCATCCATGTGAATGTTGGGTTAGTGGATCAGCACCACTGGCGATACCAAGGAGGGAAATGGGTTCAATGCGGCAAGGCCGAGGGAAACATGCCAGGTATAACTAGAGAAATCATCTCTTTCTTCATTGTGTCTTCTCTCTCTTTCAGAGCAATAAAATTCCAGTCAGGATTCTAGTTCAGCAAACATTTAAACAAATCTTTTAAGTGTATTTGCATGAACTACTATTTTGTTTTCTTTTTTTAAAGGAGTAATTTACCACCTTAAATTAAATCTAGTTTAGCCCCATACTATAAAATGAATAATAAAAAATCAGCAATAAAAATATGTGCTTCCCATCCTCAGGCTTCTACCACTATTGGACTCATTCTCCGGCATCTATAGCAGCATGAATGAGGAGAAGGTCCATGATAGTTTAAGCTTCTAGATAACATATTCTATCCAATCCAAGATAATAAAATAATAAAATAAATGCATGAATTTGCATGAATCTGAATGCTTTCTTACTGTGGGCATGCAGCATTTCAGATTGGGTGGGGGGAATGCTTTGTAACACATGGTGGTGCTCCTGAATTCTCCAATGGCTACTCTTATTAATATTCCTTTTCCCAGGAATATGCAGTTATTATAGAGATGATCAAGCATGTTCCCAAGCACTCATTCTTTTCAACATCACACAGCCCTATTTCTTACACTTATTATTTCTTCACATACAGTATTCAGAATTCATTTTTGGTTCAATTCAGTCATGAATCTTCTATTTTGTATATAGGAATTCATAGATTTAAAATATTTATCTGTTGATTTTCTACAAAGACTTCCCAAAACATTTACAGGTAAACCTCAACATAACCATAACGAAGACTGGAATTTCTGTCATATATCATGACAATCATAAATTGAGGCACCTAAGCACGACCAACCTGATTTTATGACATTTTTGTGGCAATCGTTAAGTGAACATTACACTAATGTGGTTGTTGTTAAATGAAACCCACTGTCTGCAAGTTGTCATTGTTACACATTGGAAATAAATGCTGGTTTCCAGCAAAAAACACTGTAAATCACAGTCATATGGCCGTAGGATACTCTAAACAGCCATAAACGCGGGCTGGTTGTTGAGCATCTAAAAAGCGATCATGTGAGTGTGTCTACATGTTTGCGTGTGGGGAGGCATTGGAACTTTGAATCCAGGTTATAAGTACCTTTTGGGGGGGTCTGCTGTAACTTTAAATAGGTGCTAAGCAATGGGTCATAATTTGAGGCCTACTGTACCCTATCATTAGGCATTAATAAATAACAATGAAATGAACCTGATGATGATGTCAGGAATGCACAGAGGTATTACACCAGTGGTCCCCAACCTTTCCTGCTTGGTGGACCATCAGGAAGGGGTAGGGGATGGTTCGCTATGAGGGACAAATGCGTGCAGGGACACTTGCACAAATGGAGCATCATACATTCGTCACTCATGGAAGAGGAGCTGCACACAGACACATATGCTTGTCCACCGCTTTCACAACCCGTTCTGAAAGGGCTGTGGCCCAGTAGTGGCCCGTGGCCTCAGGGATTGGAGACCCCTATATTAAGTGATTCCTCAGATACTTAAAAAAATGGTTCTTCTTATTACACTCTAAAGGAATAATATTTAATTGTCCAAAATAAGTAGTCAGGAGTGCTATCCAAGTTGGAAAATAGTATTTTAGATGGACTCTGAGGATCCTCAAAGGGATCTAAAAAAAATTAAGATCTTAGATAGAAATTAGGATTTTGGAGGAAGCCCTATAAGGAAGCAGTTATTTCCTGTTTCCAATCAATGAGACTAATGAGACATCCTGATATGGCTAAAACAGCTTCAAAGGCAGGTGCTAAGTATCAGTTACTATCATTTTGGGTAAACTGAAATATTAGAGCTCTTTTTAAAAAAAGAAAGGAAAGGAGAGCAAAGCTAGAAACTTTGAATCTAGAAAAATATTTTAAAGAAAATTTAAATGGCCGCCCAACTCACCCTCAGTGACTCCAAGCAGCTCGCAACTAAAATATTTAAAATGTTTCTTTCACCCCATAATACCTGCCCAATCAGTAGACCCCGTTTTCCATCTCCTCAATGACAGAAACTGCAATTGTTCAGAAGATCTCTGTGAAACCATTCTATTTTCCTGCTGGCTTAGAACTTACCTGGAATGCTAAGGTGGAAGAAAATGGCTTTGAATCTTAACTGGAATCCTTATTTATATCATTGATTATTATTTTTTTAAAAACTGTACTATTAATACTAGTCCAAATATCATAAAATTATTTTAGCAGATAATTTGTAAATAAAATCATCACGTGGGATGGATGTTATTTAAAATTCTCAGATTCAAATTGGAAAGTGGAAAAAAAAATCCTATCGTTGTTGCTATTCCACCATCCCAGTTGCATTTTCAAATATTACCCCAGTTTCAAGAACCATTGCTCCATCTGCTGCCAGAGATGAGAAATGGCACTGTAATCATTAAAAACCTGTTAACAAAACGTTAGTACATCTTTAAAAAAAATTTTTATCCCACTTTTATTATTCTTATAAACAATTCAAGGCGACAAAAGTACATAATTAATTCCTCTTTCTATTCATGAAGACTATTCCTATTCCTACAGACCACACAAAATTTATTACATGAAATAATAAATTAAAGCTGTATCTGAGCATGTGCAAAGTGTGTTTCCACTGCTATGAAGTAAACCACTATAAACTACTGCTGTAAAGCCCACTTCTATAAAGTAAACTACATGACCTGATTGTTCAGTGGATTTGAAATTTAGAGATTAAGAATGTAAGATAGAACAAACTAGGAGTCCCAAAATTCTTCTGCTCATCAGATTGTCCATTGACTCCTAAATGTTTACTATATAGAAATAATTTATTAAATATTACTTTAGTAATACAGATAGTCCTTGACATACAATCATTCATTTAGTAACTGACAATGGCACTGGAAAAATGTCAATTGTGACCAGTATTTCCATTTACAACTACTGCAGCATCCCCATTATCAAAGTTTGGATGCTTAACAGATATTTACAACAATTGCAGCCACCTGGCGTTGTTATATGATCATCATTTTGTGACTTTCTCGGTCAACTTCCAACAAGCAAAGTCAATGTGGGAAGCCAGATTCACTTAACCACCATATTATTCACTTCAGTATAGCAGTGATTCATTTAACAGCCATGGGTCATAAAAGGTCATAAAATCAGGCACAACTCACTTAACAACTGCTTTGCTTAGCAAGTTCTGCTCCCAGTTGTGGTCCTAAGTCAAGAACTAGCTGTACTACAAATTACAGTAAAGGATAACAACAACAGCAGCAATAATTTCATTAAAAGTAAGTAATTTTTAAAATATGAAAAACATTTTAATGTTGATATTATTAATGGAAAGTTGCATTTGACAAGCATCAACAAGAGCACGGATATATAGTTAGAAATTGGTGAATTTTAGTTATAAGTCTTCTTCTTCTTCCGGGTTTGAACTCTTCCCATTCACCACCAGCCATTGATCAATCCTTGGATAATCCCATCAATCTTGGTGCGGGTCAATATTGACCACTTTTGACATAGTTTTGCACATTTAGGAACCATTTTTATCCTCATTGTTTGCACAACAGGTATTAGAGCTTTAACATCTTGATTTCAAAATATACTGCTTTACCTTAAAAATTATAATCCCTGGCTATGTTGCAAAATGAGTTGGGTTTAGGGTAATCTCTGTTTATTAGAATCCCCTTGGCCCAAGAAGCTGACTAAAAATGTAAAGAAAATGGCATATTTATGGGATTTCACACTCTGGGTTATCCTATTTGTAGGCAGGATCATAGTTCTAAATACAATACAATACAATAGTAGAGTTGGAAGGGACCTTGGAGGTCTTCTAGTCCAACCCCCTGCCTAGGCAGGAAACCCTACACCATTTCAGACAATCCTGTAATCTATATATGCCTGTTCTCCTCACTCCACCCACATCAAAACAGCATCCACATCATATAAATATCATACTTCCTGCTAAAAAATTGGGAACTGTCATTTCAGGCACAGACCAAGCAAAACTTAGCAAGAATAGTTGGTCTGAAGTGGCTTCAAGTGAGTTTATTTACTTAAGAGTTTAGTATGCGCTTTCTCCATACTTAAATTGCAAGATACTTAACTGTAAATGCCATCCTTCTGGCAGGGAATCGGACATACATACACCCAGATTCTCCCAACACTGGAGCTCATTGGATGCGACAGGAAATTTCCTTTGGGAAACTGAAGCTCACCAACAATAAAGGAGCATCAAACAATATCACCCAGGTAATGGGGTTCCTGAATCTGGCTTTTATCCATCCCATTAACTTTGCTATTTAAAAAATTCAGGATTGTTATTGGGGTGGAACTCACAGATCATGTATGAATGAATTGTGTCTTGTGTATTTGGCAGATGATTGTACTGCAGTCTTTACACAAGTATCAGCCTCACCTGCATGTTACTGAGGCCAAGCAGGGCGAAGTGGACGAGGTGCATCCCTCAATCTGCACTCAAACCTTTACTTTTCCAGAGACCCAGTTCATCGCAGTTACTGCGTACCAAAATGCTGATGTAAGTTTATATGAGAAGTGGAATTGCCTCCTTTTACTCTTCATATGGCAGAAGGGTAAGAAGGTGGTGGCAAAATATTTATTTGCCTGTTTGTGGTATTTCTATCACGCTAATCCTACAAAACCTCATACACTCCTGGCTTCCCACCCCCATTTTATCTTCATGGTATTTCTGTGAAGGATTTTAGGCGTGTACATGGAAATGGGGTCATTTGTATCTACTTCATTTAGCAACCAGAATTGGGACCAGCAAATTGGTCATTGAGCAAAGCAATTGCTAAATGAAATTGCAATAGAGCTTATGATCTTACTAAAGTTTTCCTTTGCTTCAAAGCTCATAAAAGGGAGGATGTGTTGCAAAATTTACTTTTTCATTACCTTCACCACTGCAAACAATTGCTAAATGAGAGAGCTATTAAATGAGGTTATTATATTGAGTGCCATGACTTAGCTAGGATTTGAACCTGGATCTCTCTGGTCAGTCTAATCTTCTAACCACCACATCACAGACTGGTTCAGGGAACTTAATAGTTGAAGTAGTTTAGTTAGGGAAAGTTATTTTTTAACTATCATCCTGTTAATAAATATCCTCTTGGCAAGAACACATCAGCTAATTTAGAAAAGAAAAAGACAAGAGTGTTTACAGGCAAAGAATTAAAATTCCCTGAAGTAATACAAGGATCATCATGACATAGCATGCAATAGTTATTTATTTTTGACACCATTGTTCCCATCATTATATAGTGGATTTTGGATAATACATATAACATGGTAAAATAAGTTCCTGCGGATTTTACTCCATTATATATTGCCACCTATAGAGGGCAATGTTCACCTCCATTTCAAGGCCATTGAGCCAGCTCTGTCCGAAGTAGTCAAGTGGCCAGCATGAAGTCACAGAATGCTGTTATCTTCCCACTCAAGTGATACCTATTTATCTACTCACATTTATATGATTTTGAACTGCTAGGTTGGGCAGGAGCTGGGACAGAGACAGGAGCTCATCCCACCGTGTGACTCTCAGGTCTCAAAGCTGCCAGCTTTCCAGCTGCCAAGCCCAGTGCCTTAACCACTGAGCCACTGTGTCACCCCACCAGAGCCAAAATAATACTAATTGTAATTGTAATAGTAATAATAGTAATAGTAGTAAACTCAGGATCTTGGAAAGCATTTGATAAGTAGATACAAATGCCAAATCCAGTCTAAACATCTGGTTAACTATATTACAAACAACAACAACAACAACAACAACAACAACAACAATAGAGCAGATGAGATAGCTAAACTCATTTCTTTTTGATATTATGATACAAATCTTATATCTCATATCATCTTATTATATTATAATATGATTAATATTACAATACATTACTATATTACATTACATGATATTATAATTATAATAAAATTTATAGTTACTATCACTTTTTCCTTGGTTTTTTTTTTCTAGATCACTCAGCTGAAAATAGATCATAATCCTTTTGCTAAAGGCTTCCGTGACAATTTTGATACGTAAGTCTATTGCATTTTCTTTCAATTTCTTAATGTATTCATTAACATTTCATGACCTCTTGTATTCTATTTGACCATAACACCTTCTGCCTCCTCTAGGTGTGTTACCACTTTAATCATTGCATAGAAATGTTTAACTATGCCAAATTGTAATTTGATATGGTTTCTTAATTGCACAGTAATTAGTATATTAGATGGGTTGAAGTGGGGAGTTAGCAAACAAAAATAGCAGTGGATAATCTGGTATTCTCCAGAGATCTGAAGATATAGCAACCATAATCCTTTATTATTAATTTATGCTATCCGGAATGTATGTGAACTGTATGTGGAGGACAGCCAACTGTCCATCCTAGAGCAGGACAAACAGGTACCATGACTTGAAATATGTTTTCAATCCAATCTAGTGTCCAAGAATGATTGTCTTTCCTAACTATCTGGTGCAGATTCCTTGTCTCACGCCCATTTGCTGTTTTTTTCTTCTTCTCTTCATTCTCCACCCTTTGCCAGGATGTATACCACAACCGAGGGAGAGCGCACAACCCCATCTCCACCCAGTGTGACCAGCTGCCAGCAGCTCCTGTCAGGCAGCCGGTTCCAGCCTTTCTTGCATGACCAGTTTTCACTGCCCCAGAGCCGCTTCTTCAATCGGGAATGTGTCCCACTCCCTCTGCCACCCAAGGATCCTCCCCACTGGTATTTTGCTTCACAACAGCCTCCCCCTGCTCCCCTGGAATATGGTGCCTATGAGGGAGACTTCCGAGGGAACAAATTTATGCCCTATGGGGTAAAGCCATTTGCTCTCCAGCCTGCTTCCCATTCCTCCTTGCCCTACTATCAGGACCACCCATTTGGTCCTCCTCCTGCATGGAGTTCGCCACCTCAGTACCACCATCCCAAGCCCAACCCAGGGGCCCTGAGCTGGTTCCGGCCCATGCGGGATTTGCAGGCCTTGCCTGCTGGAGAGGAGAAAGGGAAGGACAATGAGGGCTGGGCTGAACCAGGCTCAGTGAAGTCTGCAGATTCTTCAGACTCTGGCTTATACGAAGCTGAGTGTAAGCGTCGCAGAGTGTCTCCATATGTCTCAAGTGCCGAAAGCTCCCCACCTCTCCGCAATGGGGAGCTCTATGACAAAGAAGGTGGTGGGGACAGTGGTTATTATGGGTTCTATGGCAACTAAGAGAAGTCAGAGAGATTTAATAGCAAAAGATGGGGGGGGGGTTTCTGCAGAGGTAAGCTCATGTCAGAGGTTCCCTATAATATGCATCTCTTTGTGGGGAATAGTCCACTCCTCCATGGGCAGTGCCAAAAGTATCGCTAAATCATAGAATGAGGTTCTTTGTAATCACACTTCTTTATTCTACAGTTTCCAGGTGGTAGTCTTCTGGTGTTAAACATGCATTCATTGCGACATTTGTGGATCTAAGTGATGCAAGCTTTCATGGTGAGCCCAGATCTTGGCTCTTGGATTCCCCTATATTCATGTATAAGAGCTTTTGCTTGTGTGTGGCAAATGACAAGGACAGAAATACTCCAGTAGAAATGCATCAACGCAACACATCTGCAGGCTCTCTCCACATACTGTAGCTATTTTCAATTTTGCTTCCAAGCTCTGCCATTCCTGCATATTGTTGAGCAATGAGAAACAATTTTATCTTCTTAAATGCATTGAAATGTTTAGCAAATATTAATATGTGAAATTCAACATGGAGAGATCTGATAAACTCACACATGTGCACAAATACTTCTTAATTCTGAAGTGCATGCCATAATGCTACACATCAGCTTGCTGGTTTCAGTTGTTCTAATCTACTAGAGATTGGAGCAGCAAAGTAGGTCCCAGTGTAAATATCACCTGCTGAATTGGAAACCATGAGCATAACTAAGCTATGCATCTGTCTGATGATGCGATCTCTCTGCAGCATTTGCTTTAAAAGAGATATGCATTTTGTGCCTTTGAATGAGTACAAACAGACCTCTTCTGTTCTTGCACAGCTAGTAACATATCAATGTCTTTATCATAACCAAATTTAGGACAAAGTAATTACTTTACACGCCAGTCTCTACCTATCTATCCATCTTAAAAACCCCACAATCCATTAGCATATCATTGGGATTATTGTGGATAGAAAAACTGATTTAAAATTATGGCAAGCAATTTGGAATTTGGAAAAATGTTTTTGGTACAAAACAAAAATGTACTATTCCTGCATTTTATTTCAATTCTGCATGCTTGCTTTCAAAATCAAGGTTCTTTTTGGTCCAACCTATCCAGGGATTGGTAACTTCAAGTGTCTTTTTGACAGAGCTCAGCAAATACATCTGATCACATACAGATATGCTGTGTTCTCATTGCTTTGCGTTCACTTGGATGGGTGCTTGAATTAAAGAAGTGAGCCATTTATGCAATATAAGAAAGGAGGAAATGTTACACCCCCCCCCCCACAAACAGAGGATGGTATAGATTCACAAATTCATATAGAACAAATTTGGCAACCAATACAAATAGAAGCAATATATCATATTATACTGGGGAAAACTTCAACCAGTGCATCTGTGGGTCAATCTGCTATATACAAAGATTTTGTTATTGTTTGGCAATTTTAATTTCCTTGTTATCCCTTTGACAATTTTAAAAAAAAAATCTTTTAACCAGAGTTTAGTTGTACTTCCTTTCAAACAGAAGAGGATAAGATTGCAGTAACAGCCTACATATGCAAAATCCATAGGTTACAGTAATAATTTCCTCATTGTTGTCAAGGAACACTATCTCTCTAATTATGAACTAGAAATAACAAAACTTGTTTTGTGGCAAAAACCAACCAACCAACCCTAAATCAAGAGTAGCTGAACCTGAGAGATGGGTCTTTATGCACAAGCTTATTCCACTTAATAATTCACTGCATCAACTCTTTAGTCATGTAAAGAAATCAGAAATTTAGCCAGTTCTGGGATTCATAACTCAGTTGTAAGACAAAACCTATACAGGTATGCAAATATGTATTTTCTGCTATGCATACTTGGGCAGTATGGACAATGCTGAAGTTCTTTGGGACTCTGGGACTGTTTAAACCATAATGTCAAAGAAAATGATTCTGTACTATGACTCTTCTAAATATCCTAGCACAATGCCTGGACTGCAGCCCATTCAGAACCAGGCTACTCAAGAGGTTGGCAAGGACCCATGCGTGCAGCTCCACTCACACAAGTAGCAGGTGCTTGCACTCACGTGTGAAGCTCCATTTGTGCGAGCGGCAGGTACATGTGCTCCCTTCTCCCACTGCCTGTATTGGGCAACCAAGCCAGAAAGTTTGGGGACCACTGATCAAGGAGCAAAGTATTGCTGGTAAAAAGTCATGCACCATGAATTCCTTTCTAATGGGCAGATGTGACCCATCCGAATTCTAAAGAATTGAACAAGTTGTTCGTAGGTCTCCTACATTGTAAATACTTGCTGCCATTTTTGCTTGCTATCTTAGGTCCCAGTTCACAGATTTCAACCACAGAGAAGGGTGAAGGCCAGATGTAATCAGCATTCAGGGATAGGTTTCCCAAGGAACCTTCCCACTCCTCTCTTCTGACAATTAGTGGTGCAAGCAAAGGGAGAAAAAAATTACCTCTTGTTGTATGCAAAATCCGGATTAAACATATCAAAATTTTGGGCGAATTCTGCAGCATTTGCCATAATTTTCAGGGATATGCAACACACATATCCTTCAATTTAGAATATTTTCCAAAGCCAAAGGCAAAAAATGTTGTCAACCCTCAGGCCATTGTCCTACACATGGTGTCCCCCTCCACTGAATCCTTTTAAATGTTGAAAAATATCCCAGTGGGTTGGCCCACATAAAATAATTAGCTTTATGGACAATGGGCAGAGGCAGAGATAGGTTGTATTTTTATATTTCAACCTGTTCCTTTAGAAAGATTTCCCCTCCCCAACAAATCTTGCTAGTAATTTATAAGCCCTGATCCTGGAAACACTTGATGGTCGTTTGGTAATTTAATTATGCTAGACAATCAAAAGTGACACTCCCCTTTTAAAGTCTCTTGTTGGCCCACTAACTTCTACTGAATCACCTTGGGACGGTGGTGGCGGTCAGATTCAGCTGTTTACACTCTTAAAAGATAACAAAAAAGATGTAGATGTAAAAGAGAAAATGATCTTTGTGGTGTTTTGAAGTTCTCTTTTCTAATTTTATTTTTCAGGACAACAAAAATCTTTATGGTTGCAAATATTTATTGAAAGTAGTGTACAGGCTCTGTGAGATTTGTTTTTGGGCTTAAGAATTTCTTTAAATAAACTGTCGCACATTGGAGTGTGTACCATGTGAACTTGTGTGTAAGTTTTTCATTCCTTGGGGACGCCATCATGATAGTAATTCTATACACATACAGTGTTGGCCATATCCTCACTGAAACAGAAGTGATCACAGCAACCCACCTTGCAGGGAAGTGGGGCTCAGACCCACTAATGGAAGAGTTTGAGCCACACAGCATACTATCTTGCCCAATGAATGTTGCTCCTCTGAGTTGTCTTGGACCACTATTGGTTGGTAATAAAATTCACCGATTCTACCTGATCTGCTTCTGAACATGTGCTCATGCGTCTGCACATGCATGGGCCATAGTGTCCTTCAGACAGCAAAATATCTGAAAGCAGTTGTGGTTCAGGGATGGCATTCAAATCACCACATAGATGGTATTCTGCTGGGATGCTGTGGGCATTTTCAAGAGACATGATTTCAAAAATGAGCCTGTAGGTCTTTCAGAGGCCATGACTTCAGTTCTTGGAGACCTCACAGATTCAGGCAGTGTCTTCACAACAGAACTGAAGTGATCTCATATTTCTTCTATTTGAATCAGGAATAATTGTACCATGAGGAATCCTTTTATATTATGTGTAGCTCTCTTTCTCAGCAGTCTGGGGATGGGGGTAAGGATAAAATCTTTGGCGTGATCATGTGAGTCTATAAATATGGCTTACATTACCATGAATTCCCCTCCACTCAATATGCTTGTTTACAGTAAATGGAGAAAGAGGTCATAGAGCATAATGAAGCCATAAACAAATCATACATTAGACTAAAATATGGATGCTTACTCTGTGCTGCATGACTTATAAATGGCCCTCAATGAATTAGGCCATTAGGAGGAGATCCTAGATTAGAACTCTCCATCAATAGGCTGTGGTTCAAATATGGTGCCCTATCACCATCCCCTATAGGTCAAAATCATAACTGATCATTAAATAGTCCATGAAATCAATGAAGGTGCTGGAATTAAAATGCTGGGATTAAATTTAATAATACTGGACGGGATGAGATAAGTGGGCAGACTCTGCATCAAAAGTATTTTTTCTTTTAGGTCCATGGGTTCTAGTGGTGGATCTGCAGTGGGGTACAGTGATTGGGTTTGCACATTACTACATTAGACTAAAATCAGTTGAGTGACTTAATATGTTTGAAGAATCCAGCCAGTCTTACCATGTTATGCGAACTACGACACCACGTTGAGTCATATTGTAGTTTGTTGAGCAGAGGATAAGGTACTTTCCAGAACACCCAACCATTTGATTTTTCTGATCTTGGGGAATGTTAGTAAATGAAAATAGTCTCATAGCAACTAAGAGACTGGGCCACTGATAAGCAAATGCTGGGTTTCACTATAATAACATTAGGGATTCATCAATTTCCTCATGCAAACTATTTCCCCAGGCCCAGTACAGTTCTTACTTCCTGCTACATGAAGATAAAAATATTAGATTATTTTCCTAGATCAGTGGTTCCCAAACTTGGCAACTTTAAGACTTGTGGACTTCAGCTCTGCTGGCTGGAGAATTCTGGGAGCTGAAGTCCACAAGTCTTAAAGTTGCCAAGTTTGGGAACCACTGTCCTAGATTAAAGTACTGAGGAAAACTACAATTATTTCCCAATCTGTCAAAATACATCTAAAGGATATCAATTCTAATGTCTGTGTAGGACTATTCCCGCAAAATCGATATCAGAGGACTTGCCTCCAAAGTAAGATTTGTAGTTAGAAGGTAGAGACTAAAATAATTTCAAGAGCTGCATCACCATCACAGCTAGATATCACAGCTCTGTTCAGAAAAATTGGTACTGAGCCTAAAGGAATACTAACAACATACTAAGCACTTTGATAATTTCTACTACCCTTCTAATAGTTGCTGAATTATTATCCATCTTTTGTAATTAAGTGACCGGAGATGAGTAATAGAAATTGGAATCCAACGATTTCTGGAGAGAACAGTTTCACTGCCCCTGTTGTTATAAATACTAGGACTGTGAAAAATATTTAAAAGATAGTCATGTCTTTTATAAGGCTGCCTTGTAGAAACTGCTCCTAACTGTACTGTACATGTACGGCTCAGTCAATTCACTGATTGTCCTAGTACACACTCACAAAACAAAGAAATTTCAAAGCAGCCATGAAAGTCTTCTAAAAGTCACAGCCACTTTAACAATCCTTAAAAAAATGTATTATGTTTCCAGTGTGTTCTGAATCACCACCTTCAAATGATTTATATTGAGATAGTCCACTACTTACAACTGATCACTTAATGAGTCTTTGAAGTTACGCTGGACCTTCCAAAATCCATTTTCTAAATTATGATGGTTGCACACACACAACCACACAATCATGTGATTGCATTTTGGGCACATGGCAACCAGATCACCTTTATTGGCTGTTTGCCGTATCCTGCGGTCATGGAACCATGATATGTAATTTCTTTTGCTCATTTCTGGTATTTACTTCTGTTTTCTGGCCAAAATTGCCCATTGGGAAAAATGAATTCACTTAATGACCATAGTGCTTCTTTAACAATCATCATAAAAATGGCTATAACTTTGAATCCAGTCATATGTTGCCTCAATTTATGATCATAATCCTGGGCTCAACTATCGTTTTAAGTCAAGTTCTTCTACCTGTAAAATGAAAGATTGCTAAGTACCTATTGCTTTAAATTGATATTCACAAGAGACATATATCAGAAAGACTTAGAAAATAAGCATCTCGGATTTTAAAAATGACTTCGCCACACTAGAACTTTCCAAACTCTTTTTAATTAGACATGCCATTGATTGTTCAAGCTACAGTACAAGGACATAGGCCAATTAATTTGAACATAAAAGATGGAGTAGAAACTCAGGACCGGACCTGCCGGAAGAGGCAAATGAAAGCAGGTTGACCTGCACTTGGGAAAGACAAAACATTAAAGACACTCAAGCACACAGAGAGGGACAGACTCACAGAGAGGACATCTACTCAACTGTGTATGATTGAATTTTTTAAGTGCAGGTCACAGGGAAAACAACATTCTTCCCTGCATGCAGCAGTCATCGCATTGTATCAAATAGCAAAATAAATGGATCCAAATTGAACCCTACAAGCTAAAAGAACTTCTTGGCCCCCAATGTAATATGGGAATCTCATGAAAATAAATTCTTCCAGGTCGTTTCATATAAGCTTAGTGTAAGACTCAACACAATTTTACCCAAACACACCAATCCACAATATCTCACAGCAAATTTGGAAGTCAAAGTATTTTCCAGGAATTCAGTGAGTGATGCCACCCCTTTCAGAAACACATAAATGTTATGCTGGGCTAATAAAGCCAAGTGAGGTGTCCAAGTTGTACCAGGAGACACTGATCAGCACAGTGTTTGATACTGTACAACCCACAGTGCTAGCAACAAAGCCTTCCTTCCTAAGGATCTGTGATGAAAGACTCAGTTTAACACCAAAGAAGAAACATAAAGCTATGTAAACTTTTGGCTGTTCTGCCCTGCCTGCAATTTTCCAGTAATGTTGTAGAGAGCAGTGCAACGTTGGAGGTACAATTTTTTAAATGCTGAGAAAGCTCTGATAAATTTATATAAAGTATAAGATCACAGGAGACGGTCCTGGGACCACAGCCTGGCACAGGTCAAATATATTAGCATCATAAACATGGGTAATAATTTCCAGTCACCTGCTTTCCCCATGTGTGGAGTGCTTTGGAATAGGGAATGGGGAATAAAACAAAGAATGCAAAAACTAAAGAAATAATTGTGAGAGCCTGAGTAAAGTGAGCTAGATCCTAAAATGAATAGTGGTCCCATCCAGTGCTCAATGAAGTGTAGAACTGTCAAGTATCCAGCAGTCTCATATGTATGACTGCTGGGCTGTTATATGATGACTTCAAAACTAGGCGGGTACAGGCACAGATCTTTTCCTTCCTTCTTTGATCTGTCCATTAGAAGGTCAGGTGCCCAGAATTCACACCATCCTACACTCTAGCTATGTTTTGCTTTATTTTGCTTCCACAGGAGAAAACCAAAACACACCTGTTTCCTCTCTAACCACTCTATCAACCAGCCTATACTTGCTTTCAATTTTCATAATGTCCTATGTCTGTCATAAGAGGTCTTTCCACCCTTCTTCACTAGTACAATCACACTCTGCCCTGAGCTACCAGAGCTATTAGAGGAATCCACACACTTTCACTTGAGAGTATTAAAATGTCTCCTCCACAGGCCTACATTTTAATTATTGCTTCAAATGCTAAGGAAACATAGCGGAGCAGAAGGGAAACCTATTTCGTGCTAAGGAGGAAGAAAGGAAGATAAACCACACAAAACAGTGGGATAAGTAAGGGATGCGGGGAAAGCCCAAGAGATGCTTTCTTACAGCATTCTGCCTAGAAAGATTCTGGTTTTGCCCAGACAGAGGTACCACATAGACAGCTAAAATCTGGCATTTGAGGATGGAGGAAATATCACTCCAACTGATGTCAAATTTCCACTAATGCCTTAAGAAGAGCTCTCTTCAGATGGTTGTCGCAAATCCAATTTGCTTCCAGAAGTTGAACTTCTAACGTAATTGGGCCATACTTCATCAAAGCTACACTGCTTGAGACAGCATCCAACTCGTTTCAAAGAAATGTGGTGTACATTTTTTTAAAAAAGCATGTATGAAAACAGTCACCCCAGAAGATCACTGCTAGTAGCCCAAAGACCCAAATCTTCATGCCCCTAACTCCTTTGTGCAAACAATTGCTCCAATGCCTCCTACCCCAGGATAACATCATCCAGCGTACATTGCTGTTGGGTGTTGCTGTTACTTGAACAAAAGGCAAGCTTTGAATATAAAATCTCCTATTTATACATGTTTTGGAGCAATCTAATTGACTAGCCTTTTCACTTGTTCTGCTCATCAAGTTCCAAGTGAGATTAAAGTGCTTCCTATTGCCAACTTCACGTGTGACAATCCAAAGGTCCACCAATGTCTGCCTAACCAGCAGGCAGCAGTGCAAGCATGGCAGATGGACATGGGTTGTCTTTCTTAAGAGTGCTGCTTTGGAAGTGAATAGCACAACATCTAAGAGACAGTGTCCCCTTCCTTCATAAGCTGCTGGTATTCCAGGGTTACATGCCTTGATCACTTTGTGCTTATCCAGCAAGAGACCCTTGCTGTCTATTCCCCCACTTTGGGAGATGGTGGGAAGGCACCGCCGCTCTTGCAAATGCTAGCAGCTACCACAAGACCGCACTGTCCATATTGCTGAATCCTGGCTCTGTCCTCAGCTTCCAGTAGGTATTGTTGCTTACCCAAGATTCCTTGCCATTGGCATCCACTTGCCTCCTGTTAGGAAAAAAAGGGGAGAAACCCATCAGCAATTAGGCTTGGAAAAAGGAGAATCTTTAATACAGGAATGGGAAATTTTATAACACCAACTTATGTTTCTGCTGCAGAAACATAAGTTGCTCATCTCCAGACAACAAGTCCAGTCCAGAGTGAAGAATGCTGTGAATGACAATCCAGCCACTTCTAAAGGCCACACAGTCTCCATTCGTATTTCTAAACTTTTTACATCCCCTCAGAACTAGAAAACTACAATGTTAACAAACTTTAACTCACCGTATATGTAGCTGATGTAAAAATAAAAAATAAAAACAAGATTACAACAGGAACTTCTGCTTAACCACAACTTACGTTTTTTAAGTACTGATCACATGTTTTAAAACCAATCTTTGCAGTTTTAAGGATCGGTTTATTTGCTTCTTTTTCACAATGAAAATTACAGTTTTCTGGATATTGAACTTTCTCCAGTATTAGACTGTGCAAGTACATAGTGAGTATGCAGAAGACAAACCAGTATTGTGGATTTCTTGGAATAATGGTAGCAGAGGTTTGCTTTACATATTTAATATTTGGGGCCTTCAGGCTTCAAATCATACTAAGGTATCGATATGCAAAGCCTTGATTTCAGGCTGTCTTTGCTTTATTTAGATAGGATTTGATTCTATCTCTAGTGCAATCTGTTATGCTTGTTGCCTTTATTTCTAGACAATTATTCTAGCCACACTTCTCTTCCTTATAAATATAATGTTGTTTTTGCATGCATCTGATGAAGTGATCTGCATGTTTTCATGCAATTGTAAATGTATTAGTTTTTTTTTTTGCATCATATACCCCTTATGTTTGCAGAGGAAGTTTGCAAACAAAACCTTTTAAAGCATTATGTCAGAACTATCCTTTCAGAGATGAAAAACATGTGGCTTGCCCCTGTCTCTTTGGAGGGGGGAAGGGAATGGGGGGGGGGACTTTAAAGAGTGAAATAGATGTCCTAAGCTTGCAGATAACTACAGACACCACTCCATCTCCCCATTCACCCCCTTTCGAATCCTTCCAGAAAATCAGTTTGGCCAAACCTTCTTTGAAATGCAATTTTTGCTGTGATACATATAAAGTGGCCCTTGAGCCAATGGAATAAGGAACTGAACTCATTCCAGCACTAAAGCAACTACATGTAATCCTCAACTTACAACTGGACACGTGATGACCATCTGAAGTTCTGATGGACCCACCTGAAGGTTACGTATCATCCAGAATCGAAGTTCCAATAGTTGCCACCACCACCCCCGTCTGCTATCACACAACTGCACTTTAGGCAACTGGGCTGCGTTTATGGTCATTGTCAACATCCCAGGATGATATGATTGTGCTTTCTGAGTGTTGCTAAAAAACCCTATATTTACATTCAGCAAAACTGAATGTAAACATAGGAAGCCACTGGTTTGCTTAATGGCTGCAGATTTGCTTAATGACCATGGTGATTTCCTTTAACAACCACTGCAATAAAAGTTATAAAATCAGATTGGTCACATGACCGGCTCTTTTTACAACCATTACTAGTTCTGGTCTTGATGGACAAGCTCTATTATCGTCAAGCGTTAAGTCCGGTTGTCATCATATTTAGTTTTTTGGAAGAAGAATAACAAAAAGTAGGTGCTACACATATGGCCAAGAAACCCAAAATAAAGCAAAAAAGGAAGCACCTGAAAAAGCGTGCCTGGTGGAAAATATTGTTATCATCCATCACACGACGCCGATCTCGTTGCAGCTGCTCAATCCGTCGTTTTTGAGACTCTGCAGCCTGCACATTTCCCTCTTCCAGATACCTGGAGGAAGCCACCAAATTTAGAGACATTGCTTTTAATTCACACAATATACAGGAGGCCAGGATTATCACACACCTTTAAAGTCACTCAAGGGCAGTTTTAATGTTCATTCTTACTTTGTTTGTGTATCCATTTTATAACTGATACTGGAAATTCTGTAACTGCCAGAAGGTAAATTACTTTGAATACTTTAGGTAGGATGATATTAATGCATATACTGTGTGTGTGTGTGTGTGTGCGCGCGCATACATACATACATACATACATACATACACACACACACATATATGGAAAAATAAAGGAAAATTTGTATCAATTTCTTCCTGGCCTTTACCGTTGGTCAGGCCTCAACCTTGTGTCTGTAGATGGAAGGAGGCGTTTCAGCTCTGGAGTTAGTTCATTCAGCTCCAGCGCAAACTGAGTGAAGCCATAACTCTTCTCTTGGTCTCGAGGCATGAGATCTAGAAGGGAGAGGGGGAAAGGGGGGAGAGAGAGAGAGGGAGAGAGGGGTGAGGGAGGGAGAGATACCTGTTAACAAACTGTTAACAAACCTGTTATTAGCCATAATGTATTTATTCGGATAATGTTTCTCATATGGTGTGTGAATTCAATAGGAATAAAAAGATTTTGCTGCTGATTTTTAAATAAATATTTAGTAGTTCAAACACCAACAATTATGAAAAGCTTAAGTTTGGTTTATTTCATTTCTTAATAAATGTGTATTATTTCTCCTCTCTTGAAGGAACTAGAGACCAATTAACTAGAGAATGGAATGCTCTCATTTATTCTACAATAAATTCTACAAGGAGTGCCAGGCTCCTTGCTATCATCTGTTTATGGAAGATTTCAATGCAGGACTTGGTTCTAACAACAGTATTCCCTTTTTCTCCCCAATTTAAAGAAACCAAAGCTTTACTTTCTCCAACATGCTAGAAACCCAGAAGATCCTAAACTAAATGTTGTTTTATTTATACTATCTAGTGTGTCATTTTATCTCAATCATGGCTAACCAGGGCTCCACTTTTTGAAAAGTTTGGAAAATACCAAGCTAGGGGGAAGGAAATGAGTGTTGCATTACAAGCTCCGCCTCTTTTGTTCCTGCATTGTGATGTTGCACAAATGTACAGAGGAGGCAGAGCTTGGCTCATAATATGTTTTTGTTGTTTTCATGACATACAAGATGGGAAGATCACTCTGCAGTGTTTGTGTACATACAGTGTGTATTAACTTATCCTTATTATTTAGTAAATGAATAGACTGCCCATCTCATTCATATATATGGGAATATATATATGGGAAGCACATTTAAATTGAATAAAAACAGTGGAAAAACAACTACATGCCTTTTCTCTGCTTTCCCACTGCACTGTTTAAAAGCAATGATCTGAAAGCTGCACTCTGGGGAGGTCTCAGGTTCTAATTCTGTAATGCCAGAATTTCTGAAAACTAATAGTACTTGATTGTTCACTTTAGCTGTTTTATTCTGTCAAATTAACAACCAGACTTATGTTAACATGTTGATCCCTAGCAACTATCATACCAACTTCTAAAAAGTTATTTCAATTATTTTGAATTAATTACTTCCAATTATGTACCCGTGAAATCTATTCTTAGTTTCTGGCACATGATATATTAGTTATCTTAATGGAAAACCATTTTCTTGGAAAAACTGGAAGTTGAAGATATGCTGTGCCCAGAGCAAGCTAGTTTAGTAGGAGCACATCAACACTTGACTATTTTTTTTGTCTCAAACTAACAAGCAATTTAAGGCATTAGTATCCCCTGGCAAAGGTTTATATCAGTCCTTATGGATTTAAAGACTGCCTTTGATACTTTCCCAAAGGGAATTTCATGGCCTAAATTTAATACTGTTTCCACTGATAGAGAGATTAAGAGATTTAATCTGTCTTCATCTAGAGTCTACTTTAGAGTGTGATGTCAAAAAGAATATAATTTGACTAATCCCATGCTCGTCATAGAAGGGTTTGCAGGACTACTTTCTTGCTCCAAATCTGTTTAATTTGTATTTAAATGATTTGCTGGAGATTTGTTCATCCAATTTTCAATTATCCCCCACGGATGACATTGACATCTCAATGACAGCTATATACAGCTGATGTCACCTTTATTTTATTACACTGACCACTGAGGGGGGGTAGGAAAATACTCAAACAGGATATATTGTATGCTGTGTAAAAGGGGGGGAGGGGATGAAAAACTCATAACATGAGAACATCAAATGATATAACATCTGTACTTATTGGAGACCTATGTATAAAGGAGGATAGTAAATACCATTTTTAAATGGACTTTAGTTCTCTAACTGATATGTTTCAAACAGGCTCCCGCAAGCTAGTGCACAGAATACGAACTAGTAACAAGGGGGAGGAGGTTGTCTCACTCAAAGCATATGCAAAGCAATACATTAGGGGAAAGAAAATCACAACATATCTGACAGATGCCCATCCCTGTTTAGCATTTCCCAACAAAGGAATGCTACACACTTCCAAATAATTGAAAAGATAAGCACATACAAATGCACACATGTGTATACTAGGTTTTGAGGTTACTTAAAAGATATATATTGAACATCTGATTACATTAAATGTAATTCATATTTAATTGTGTCATCCCCCCCTCTGTTAATTTGGTTTATAAAACTACTAACACATAAGATCAGCTTCCCTGGATCTTACATTGTACAGATGGGCTGAAATTGCACATGCCTCACAAATTGTCACCTATGAAATCTGGGGATTCTGGAAACTGTTGGTGAAACCGATCTGGAGCTTGCTAAATTAGGTGAAACCTGGTCTATAAATAAACAAACAGTCCCATAAAAGCAGCTGATACTTTCCCACAGGTCAGCACTCCTTAGAAGAATTTATTTCTTACTGGACTTCCAGAGGCACTTTCCAACAGGAGGCACACCACGATACAACCCTTCATGCCACTTCCCAAAAAGTCGATGGATAACCTTGCCATTATGGCTGTGAATGGCACCATGCACTTCATTAACCCCGGAGCCCCAGTAGCGTGCCTGCCAAAAAAAAGAAGAAGTTAAGGTAGGTAGGCTTCCTAACAGTTTTCTGTTCATCTGGTGGAAAGCCAAGGAGATGTCTGAGGAGATACAATGAAGATGGAAATAAAGAGACAAACCTGAGGTTCAAAAGGAGAGAAATGAAATACAAAAAGGGAAAGGATAAAGATTGATGACTCCCAAAAAGAATATGAAAGATTAGATGAGTATGGAATGAAAGTATCACTATATTGATTAAGAATATCAGTCAAGAAATCAAAGGAGAAGGAAATAAGTACCACAAGTAAGCACTTGGCCTTATTTTCAGGGAGGTCTTATTACTTTTGAGGTACAGGAAGGGACAAGTGTGGTCACCTCATGGCTGCTGCATTGCAATATTTTCGGGGAGGCTTATTTTCAGAGGAGGGCTTATTTTAATGCATGCGCTCAAAAGCCCAATTGGGCTTATTATCCAGGGAGGTCTTATTTTCGGGGAAACAGGGTACCACAAACCAGGACAACAAAACACAGGAAGATATATCAAGGCAGAAGGGGTATTTAAAATTCTACTTCAGAGGGAACAGGCCATAGCTCAGTGGCAGTGCACCTGATTTGTATCTAAGAGGGCCCAGGTTTAAATCACAGCACTTTCAGATGAATCAATCTGAGGTTCCAGGGAACTACTACTAGTGAGGCTGAAGACAATATTCAGCCAGATGGAACAACAATCTACTATAGCTTGATATTCAATAGCCTCAGAGTTGACATTCCTGAATTTAAAAACAGGATGAAGAACCAGAAAGAGGAGTTAAGTAGAGATCAAAGAAAAACAGGACATGGCAGAAGATCAGATCCATATTAGAACTCACTTTGCAGAAAGTAAGCTTGCAGTGGTATCTGCTGTCTCTTGTGTTTCGAATCAACACCTCACCGTAATGTTCAATCCAACGCTGGCCACTCAGGATATTGTGAATGCAAGAAGTCACCTTGTTCCATTCATAATGATCCCCAAATCTTTTGAAGAAAGAATAACAATTATAAAAGGGTGTCAGAAGTGAGAGTATTGGGGGTGGGGGTGGGGGGGTCATCAAAAGGGATGGAACAAATAGGCTTTGTGACTCACCTGGGAAGATGGACATTCACTGTACCAACTGGAATTATCTCAAGTGATTTACCCCAGAATTTATTTTTCCACTTCATGTCTAAACAAAACAAAATCCAAGGAAAAAGAAATGAAGTGTGAAATCACAGTAACTATTACTTTAAGATTTACATCAAATTAAATTGGGGCATTTAGATTATTGCATTTGGGACTACAACTGAGGTTTACCAAACATGCTGGGACTAACAATCCAAAAATTCCCAATCAATTGTGGTTCCAACAAATCAGTTTTATACAGCTGCATGATCAATGTGACAGTGTTCTGATGTTTTAGGTTACAACTCCCATCATATCTAATTAATCATGGAGATACCTCTAGGTGGATGTTATTTCCTATAAAATTAATCTTTTGGACTTTGTATAGCTCTAGTTCTAGGACAGAACCTGACAAGTAATAATACTATTCTTTGTTTTGATCAAAAGAGCAGTCAATACTGTTTTCATTAGAACAAATTCCATCCATTTTCCCTGTTTTCCAACCGTGAATAGCTTTTTGCCTCACCTTGCCAGAAAATGAAATTTTCAGACTCTGCATGACAGGCAGAGATAGGGGGATGATGGCTCACCTGCAATTGGGGTGGGACAGACAAAAGAGGACAAAAAAGTCTAAATCATTGTGGCTATCTGAATCAACTTGATGTTGTTCATAAAGATATTTCAAAATTATGGCTTTTGTTTATAATTCTAAAATATTGAATAATTCTAAAATATTACAATTCACAGAGCATCACAAACACTTTCACAAAATAGGTTGCTTGGAAGGAACATTCTTGCTTATTCTCAAAACCACTTCCATATTGCCCATGAATAGATACGAAAGACTAATTTGTTAGAAAGCAAATTGTTCCCTACTTCCCATTCAATATTTTTTTTCTTTCAAAGATTGTAGAAATAGTAACAGATGTCTCAAGGGACAGAGGTGTGCGTTTGTTAACATATTGGCATACATGCTTATGCTCTGATTCTAATCTGCATTCCAAGTTGGCAAAAAAAATGGACAAGTAGATTTCATGCACTTTTTATCACTGCAGCAGTCTTTTGAATAGAATGTAATTGCCATCATTCCCAGATAACTTGAGGATTTGCAGATAATGGAAAGATTTGTTACAATTGTTTTATTGCATTTATTCCCCATTTTTTACATGAGGACTCAAGATAGCATACATATTCATTCATTCATTCGTTCTGTAATATCTTCATCAAAGATGACTAGAAAATGCAGAAGCCCGTAAAGGCGAGATCCTGAAGTATTCAAAAAATATTATTCCATTTGAAAACTAAATCACCAAAGATAAAATATTAAGCATGGTATGTTAAATACCTTCTACATAATTAGAATTTTTTTTAAAAAAGGTGATCAGAGAAAAGTAGCAGTCCATTACCACTGAGATTAACCATTCGGGATCACTGTTAGGAAAGATGGTCCAAATTATTATCCCTCATCAAAGGATTCCTCATGATGACAAGTGATAAGAAGACATGTGAATTTGGAAAAAGGCAGAAATCCAAGAGATTGAAGATGGAACTGTGGATACACTGGTGCCATTCTGGGGGTTCAGACACTGATTCATTATGGGTCATTTTCAATTTACTGGCATCTGTTATCTGAGGCAGCAAGCAGGGTAGAAATGATTAATGGCTTGTTAATTTTTCTTCTGGCTCAGTTCAGGTTCTCGAAGACACTGGTAGGAGAAGAACTCAACAGATGCACAATGTTCTCCATTACCACTTTTCTCCCAGTAAGACACCACAACTTGCAAATTTGTGTGTTAGGCAAATGTTCCTCTTTGGAAGAGGGGCCTTTCTTTCTCCCATGAATCAGCTGCCAAATCATTCCTCCTGATAATGCCAAGTTCCCTGCTATTCTGACTCAGAGATTAGAAATAAATTGTCCTTCAAGTTCACCCACACTCAACCATATTTCTCTCCCTATTAGTCTTGATTTCAAAAGCTGTAATTTTCCCCTCCTCCATTGTCCTCCTATTCCTCATCCTACTCTACTCTAGAGAGGGAGGAAACCAATTATATTAGTGGGATTGATGAGGGGGGAAAAATCTCCATGTCCATTTTATACAATACTGTATTTCCCATATGTTTGGGCTGATATGTCTAATATCTAAAACTGGGACCATATAGGTAATTATCTCTGACCAAAGATGGTATAAAATAGCAGATCTTCCACTTCATAAGAGCAGGAAGTTTCTTCTAATGCACTGAGAAATTTTCAAGTCTGGAATCTATATTATATTCTCCCTCCTACCCCAAAATTATCCATGACTGTCACAATCTTACCCTGAGAATTCAGCAAAGAGAAGAATGCAACATTTTCAGATAATCATGCGTGAGATTTCAACCATCTTTAATTTCAACGAATTATTTTACATTCACAGGAGGAGTCAAAAGCACCATATTGCCAATCTTTTGGTAACGTTCAGCCAAATCTGCTTTCCTGTAAATTTCTATCTGTTGGCTGTAATCCTTTCCCACAGATCATTGGAAAAAAACTCTGATCCACCTTTTACACGCAGCATAAAAGTCACTGGAAAACTTGTGATCCTGCCTGCGACAGCTGCTTACGCCCAATTACCTGTTCACTTAGGAAACGAAACCCCTTGTCGGGACGGACACACTCATATGTTTCTCCCAACACAGGGTTGAATGGCTTGCTGCCAGCACGGTAATAGGTAGAGGCATAGGCAGATACAGCAAAGGCAGCTATGCAGAGCTGTTAGAAAGAAGCAGAAAACATTAGGGATACCTGCAAGAAGTGATGGGTGGGGGGAGAGGGAGGGACCAGAATCAGCTAGGAATATACTTGGAGGTAAGGGAGGGCCCTAGGAAGTTTATTTTCTGCAGCTAACATCACAGAGGTTGATTTTCCAAACAGGCAGGAACATTCTTAAGACACATTCTTCTATCAACTGCTGAAATAATATATACACATACACAGACACACTCACACTCACACTCACACACACAAAACTTCCAAAGCCCAGATTTGCCCACCTATGTGACAAACATAGATGCAGCCCTTGGTCGCCCACAGATGGTCCATCATCCCTCCTGACACATGGAGAAGCACATTACCAATCTTTCACAGGGGTCCAAACTGCAGTTGGCTGCATCCAGCAGGGCAGCGTACTCCAATTCTTCACAAAGGCGTTGCAGCATGTTGAGTGGCTCATTCAACTGCACCGGCATGGAGACCTTGGAGAGATCTTTGCCAATGTTGTTACGAAGAATGTTCCAGAGGCTGATGTCATTGGCATGGTTGTGGGAAGCTGGTAGGCAGTTCCTCCGGGTTATCCCAGGTCCCGGCCCAGGAAGATACAAAGGAAGAGGCACTGGCACACCTAAGCCCATCTCGGAAGATTTCCCAATACATTGCATAGGGCCTGAGCCTAGTGAGGGGGGAAGGGGGAAACAGTAAATGGTATATGCTGGATCCCTAGTTATCACCTTGGGTACCCATTAGAGGCCACAGCCCACCTAACTGAAAGAAAAAGTTTCTTTAAATTAAAAAAAAAACAATATCTAAATAAACAAGCATTCCTCAGTACTAGACCCCAGTCTCCTGTGGTGGTACAAATTGCCTCAACTTTACAAGTATTCCGGTGAGCATTTTGATCATGTGAATGGCATCTCTGAATTAATTAATTTTCCTTTAGCTTTGATTTTTATTACATATGTTTTTTAAAGATGGATTGTTGTATTGTTAGCATTGAGGTGGGCTATTGTGCCTAAAGAAATAAATAATGAAAAAAATAATTAATATTCATTTTGCAAGCAAAGCATAAGTCTTGAAAAACATGTATTCATAGCAATGCTTGTTGATCCCAAAAAGATTATTCTTTTGCATCCTAGTGCATCCTCAATTCACTTTCTGGTAAATGGATATTTCAAATCTGACATGACCACCATGACAAACATTTTTTAAAATTAGTCTACCTACCTTGGCAGATAGAAATGTTCCCCAAATTCCATATAGTATATGATGCTGATCTAAGATATGTCTTTGATATTTATTCCATTTACATACTGCTAATATACTATATATTCTTGATACAATAATAACTTGATTATCATACAATCATAAAGCATAAAGTTCTTTTATTAAGCTAATGGTTGTTTTCCCACATCACACTACTCTAAAAGCAAATAAATCACCTAATAGATGCCCCCAACCACTAAAGTTTTAAAAGATTTAAACTTTTAAATCTGACTTTAAGATTAGAGGCCAACATTCTGTTTTCTTGACCCAGAAACAATTATCAAAAATCTTGGACACAAAAGCATATTCTGCCAGTTTATATGATTCCAAATATCCAAAGCTCCTGAATTAAATCAAAGAGTCATCATCCTGAACTTATTCCCAACAGTGATATGACAGATATTTCATGGAAGCAAAGGAAGCAAAAGAGAAACAATTTTTGCTCCATTGTTTATCAGAGCACCTGGTATTCTGCCATGGAAGTACCATTACTAATTAACAATGGAGTACCTCAAGCTTTGTTTTGGGCCCAGTACTCTTCAATATCTTCATAAATGATCTAGATGATGGGATAAAAAGGGAACTCATCAAATTTGCAAGCGACACCAAATTGGGAGGAATAGCAAACAATTTAGAAGATACGCTCAAGATCCAGAAGGATCTTGACAGACCTGGACATTGGGCCCTAACTAATAAAATGCAATTCAGTGGTGAGAAAAGTAAGATCCTATAGTTAGGTAGGAAAAACAAAAAAATATAGGACAGAATAGGCAGCCCTGGCTTAACATTGATAACTTTGAGAGGATCTTAGTGTCCTAGTGGACCATTACTTAAGTATGAGTCAGCAGTGTGCTGCAGCTGCCAAAAAAGCCAATGCAGTCCCAGGTTGCATCAACAGGGGGATAGCATCAAGATCACAAGAAGTGATAGCATCATTCTATATTGCACTCATGAGGACCATAATTACAACCACTACTGGGTGCCACAATACAAAAAAAGATATGCTGAGAGTCTTGAAAAAATGCAGAGAACAGCCACAAACATGATAAGGGCGTTAAACCATATGATGTATAGTTAAGGGAATTAGGTATATCTAGCCTAAAAAAGACAAGGATTAGAGGCAACATGGTAGCTGTCTTCAGGAATTTGAAGGGCTGCCACAGGAAGGAGAGGGTCCACTTATTCTCCAAAGCACCTGAAGACAGGACAAGAAGCAATCAGGAGAAGCTTTTAAAATGTGATCCATTGTGGAATGAAGGAGAAATTTCCTGACAGTAAGAATAATTAATCAATGGAACAGCTTGCCTCCTGGAGTTGTGGTTGCTCCATAGTTGGAGGTCTTCAAGAAAAATTAGACAGCCATTTGTTCAGGATGCAACAAAGTCCCTTGTCTGGGGCAGGAGGATTTGACTAGAAGATCTCCAAGATCCCTTGCAGCCCTATGATTCTATGAACTTCTGTTATAGTGGATAAAGACTAAAACTAGTAAACTATCAATTCTACTCCTGCCTAGGCTCACCTGGGTGGATAGTCACTCTCGCTTAGAACTAGGAAGAAGACAATGGCAACTATTTCTGAAAACGCTGTCAAGAAAACTATAGATTCATTCAGGCAATCACACATCACTTGTTATGGAAGGAAGACCACACAGAAGATATATGAAGACCCTTTCCAATCTACATTTCTAGTTTACCTTCCAATGTTTGTTTTTAACCAACTTGATCTTATTTTGGAATCACAACTTCAACACTTCGTGAGGGAGTCAGGTTACAGAAAGATCATCTTCACTCAACCTTCCATAATCTGACACTCATCTGACATGTTGGAATGAGGACTCAAAACATTTCCAGCCAGCATGGCTAATGGACTGTTATTTCTGAAAGCTGAAATCCCATTATTATTGGAAAGCATGATAATTCCCCTTGTCCTATCTTTCAACCCCAGTTCCCTACGGAGGTTTCTCCCCCTATAGGCATACACCTGCCCATTCCTTGGATCAAGTACCTTTGTGATAACGGTCAGAACTTCCTGGCATATCCACCATCTCCTCTGAGATACTGTTGGTGACTTCACTGATACAGGATTCATCATCCGTGGCCTGGAGGAGCAACAGGAGGTTACACAGACCACAGCAAGTAGGGAGCTACCAGAGAAGAGCAAAAATGGGCAAGAAGAAAGGAAGGAAGGAACAAGGCTGCTATGTTGGGAAACTGAGGCAGGACCACAAGGTGAGAGGATACCGAAGGATGGATCTCATAAGGATCCATTCTTTAATAAGTTTATGATGAGGAAAATATTTGCCTAGGTGAGGCAAATACTACTCTGCCTATAGCCTCCAATCACAGTAGGAATCTTATAAACACAAGTTTTAAGCTCTAAAGAATGATATATAGACAGCAGGATATTTTCTTTTCTCTATATAAAAAAATGAAAGAGTAGGATAACTATTTCCTTTTATTCATAACCAATGCTCAATGTAAAAGCTGAAGTCATTGCTAAGTAAGATTGCTTCTGGTTGATATAAATTTAAATAGAGCATGTATCTAATTTTCCCCAGGCATTTGGGTCAGGCAATTAGATGTGCACTGTTATTGATTTTTTTCTATGACTGGTCTTTACTTATTTATTAATCAAATTTATTTGGCTCCCCATCCCACAAAAAGTGACTCTGGGCAGCCTACAACAATACAGAAAAAACAGTAAATAAATAAGACAACTATTAATTAACAATTGTATAATAATTATTAAAAAGAATTAAAAATTATAAATGCAAAGCTAAAACAGGAAATAATGGATGAAGAGATAATAAGAGAAATACCTCATAAATTATTGTTTATCCTCAGAACTAAGACTATTTTGTCAATATTTATGTCTTTTAACCCTTGAAAATCATCTAGACTAACTTGTGAGAGACTATAGGAAAAGCCATACAAACAAATAAATAATAAACGGGCAGCTTATACCCGAAGAACTGTGAAGGGCAAGTCATTGTTTAAAGATAAGGAACTGTAAGGGAGTATTCGGGCCTTAAAATTGCCAAAATATAAAATTTAGATGACAAATGGATGATAGACTCAGTTCTCCCTCTGCTCAATCCAAAATGGACATGTACAGTATTTCCATTTAAATTATGATAATTGGTATCAAATTTGGAGCTCTAAACATGTACTGAAACATTTGCAAATTACATAACCTTACTCTTCTTATATTCTTTTATGGGAAGTTCTGGCTGTTTTGAGGACATGGAGATTGAAGGGAAGGAAGAGAGCAATTACATGAACAACAACAAAAACAATATTCAGAATCCCCAGTTCCATATTACAGGGACAATAATTAGCAATTTTTAGATGTGTAGACCAATTCCTAGAATTCCCACAGCCAGCATGGCTAGCTAGAGAATCCCGAGAGTTGGTCCACACATCATTGGACGGTTGAGCCACGGTTGAGAAACACTACAGCAAAGGTTGGACATAGAGCTGCACGAGAGACAGGTCAATTCAGCCAAGTTGAGTTGCCTTTGCAACGGCAGAAAAGGCCCGTCTCTGTCTTTTGGAGAAACATGTCCCAGAGACCTAGGAATAGGTCTCAACTTTATCCCAATAATCTAGATTTATTTCCAAGTGGGAAAAGATGGTAACGGCAGGAAAGATCTAAGCTAAAAAAGCAAAAAGGTCTGGATTCTGCTAAGCTGACATTTTCCAATCAAAAAAGGGAACCGGGAGAGGCAGGCGCTGAAAACAACAGGTAGGGTTTGCGGTATGTGGTGCTAACTGATTAGAGAATAGAGTGGGAAGGTTAGCTAGGGGAATGGGGGAGTGGCTTGGCTCTTGACTAATTGACAAAAGGAAGAAAGAGAAATGGAAAAAAAATAGAGAGGAGTGATGATCACATTAATCTAAAAAACAGAATACAATGATATGTTATAAGAAACATGAAATCATCCCTTTAGTCTTAAAGCTAACTTGACCAATTGGTTATTTCTAACAAATAATAAAACAACCGGGTAAACTGTAGCTGAGGTGTACTGCATATGCAATAAACTGTACATGTCCAATTGCTAAATGTAATTGCATGTTTAGGTATGTCTAATAGCTATTCTTAGCTGCCAGTAGAGGGGGCAAACGATTCACCGAAAACCTGTCCATGCTATTGCCCTGAGCTGACCCTAAGATCTTGCAGCTGGGTATATTATAACAAATTCGGCAAGTATTGTGCAAATAATTGCACCTCAATTTTCAACTTTCAGAAATAGAAGTGTGCTTAAGATGACAACTCCCTTGAGATGACAGCTCCCTTACATGCCCTCTGAAAACACAGCTATTCCTGTTCAGCTGCAGGGTTCCTTCTACCAGGCAGATTTCCACCTGTTGCTGAGACTTCCCTTGAAGATTGGGCATCATCTGTTCACTATGAATCACCTCATCAAGTTGATTAACATGCTGAATTTCCATAGGTCTGTTCAGAGCAGCCTAAAACAGATGTGCCCCTCCCATCAAGGGAGAGAAGCATGCAAATTCTTAGCAAGATGTCTCCCCTGAAATGCAAACTTTTCACAGCTATTGTCACTAACCTCATTCTCAGATGAGCTGGCTGACAGAAATACCTCACAGGCATCAAAGAACTCAGTATGTGAATCCGAAAGAGAGACAACACTGCAATTTGAGAGCTGTTGCTTCTGTCCTTTAACCAACAGAGCATCTGGCTGAAAGAGGGAATACAAAAATTCTTCATTTTTTTGTTTTTATTACCAAATTTTCAATATTAATAATAAATAGGTCAGTTAAAATGTTACCTTCAAATAAGTGGCAAGTGTAAACTGAGATACAGTCTAAATCAGTGTTTGTCAACCTCTACAATTTTAAGATGTGTGGACTTCCATATGTTGACACAAACTTCCACAATTCCCCAACCAGCCTGGCTGGCTAGAGAATTATGGCAGTTGAAATCCATGTATATAGTTGCTGATCTTGAGTAACATTTATCTAATTCATCCTTCTTCGCTCTAGGACACGGGTGTGTAACTCAATCATGTCACGTGACGTATTGTGATGGTTTTTGCCTTTGAGGAGCCAGGTGTGGACTTGGCCTGAAGCATCATGTTTGGTATAAATTTCATTTTTCATTTATTTTTAAAATTGATACATTTTATCCTCCATTTCTGGGAAAACAAAGTAAAGCCGCAAGAACAATTAGGAGCCATTTGATTTGGTGGAATTCAATCGTTAGAAACCGTCCTATCAGGAAAGAAGAGGAAGAAGATAGGCAGTGGGACTGAATGAAACCCTAAACCCTTTCTCAGGCTTTTCTCTTCTTTTTCTTGGCATTCCAGAGATGGCAGCATCTCTGTCAAGTGGCCAAGGTTCAACAAACCAAACTTGGGAGAGGGAGGGAAGAGCTGCTGTCTGATTATGATGAGGCAACTATAATGAAAGTGTTGCAGCATTTCTCAAAATTTAAAATAAGATGTGAGAAACTGTTTCAAAGAAACATCTTCCTGCAAAACACCAGTTTTTTACACTGCTGAATTTTTATCTGTAAAGACTTGACATATGCCTTTTCTTGTTCAGCAGTCTCTTTGGGGCGGGGGGGAATGTGCTCTTCTCTTCTATAATTATTTTCACCAGCTTCTTTTCATGAAACTTCCCACTTTCTGAAAGATTTGTCACATAATTTAGGCCACGCCATAAGACAAGCTAATATATCAAGAACTGTTAACAAAAAAAATCCCATCTGCTCCTGCTTCCCTAATATTATATACATTTCTTACATAAAGTGTTTTTAACCAGATTGGATATGTATATCATTCAGAATCAGTTTTAAGACTGGAGTAACATAAAAGATTAATAAACAAAACAAAGAATTTATTCAACCTTTTCATGCTGAAGTCAGGAACTTGACTTCCAATTTGTATCAATATTTACAGAGGATGATCATAGCATTAACAAAACCAAACTCCTTCCATATGATTGCATTTGACAAAATTAAGGCAGAAGATTTCGTGGTTCTCTTCACTACTTTTCAGACAAGAAAATACCCAATTCCAACTGCAACAGGGAACATCTATTTATTTTTATTTTTTAATTTAATTAAAATTATATAACCACTTATCTCATTGCTGCAACTCTGGGCAGCTACAATAATTGTCAGATGCCACAAAACAAGACAGAAGCTGTTTGCCCTTGTAATAATTCTCTTAGCTGTTAACTATACTTTTCTCATGCAGCCTAAGGAATCATTTGTGTATCAATACACAAATTATGCTAGAGATACATTAACTGTCCTGTGATTTCTGACCATAGAGCAATTTAAGTTACTATTCACTTAGGGAAAGGTTTACCTCATCAGCACTGAATGAGGCAAAAGAATCCAGAGTGGTATCTGAGGAGACGGAGAGCGAATGAAAGCGGCGTATACATTCAGGATTGTCAAAACTCTGAAGAGAAGCCTGGAAGGAGTAAAAAAAAAAGTTGTTATTTTGGCACAAGGGAAATGAAGAAGTGAGTGTTGAAGATTGTAAATTAAAACTGGGCACTGATCATTTCCTAAACTGTGAAGAAACTGAGCTCTGACTTAAAGCACTCAGACAATCACATTATGCAGGGGATTAAATACGTTTGCCATGATGTAGAGCTTTTTACCAGTTTGATGGTAGATATCCTCACCTATTCTTACTTAAGAGGATGGACTAAATAACCAGGAGGTGGAATAAAAGAGACACTGAGTTCTGGTCCCTCTCTAAGCATGAAGTCCAGATAGTGAGTGTGGGACAGGTGCTTTCTCTCTGCCCAACTCCTCTCACAGTGTTTTCTTGTGGGAAAAATAGGAGGTAGGAGCATTATGTATGCCACACTGAAAATTACAAAATAAAGCTGGAATGGCATCATCACATTTCCAAGAAATACTTGTTTCAAATACAGGAAATAAGATGGTAATGGGATGGTGGGAAGATCCTTGCAGTTTATGTAAAATGGCGTGTGCTTGATTTGGGCTGGAGGGGGGGGGGGGATGTAGGAATTTCTCAGCTAAGCCTTAAACCAACACTTAACAATTCTTTCAAAGGATCATGACCCCTTACACCAGCTGTAGTAGAGTTGATGCCATCTCCAAGGTCACCCTGTGCAGAAGACAGAGTGTCACGTTGCAGATCTAACATCTGCTGCAATTCTTGGAGACGGTCACGCTCAGAGGTCAGCACAGCCAGCACACTGCTGAGAGAACCATGAACTGGAGGAACAACAACAACAATAAAATTACAGACAGCATTATATTCCATTAGTGCAGAGGATTCTCTTATCAAGAAAAGATTCCAGAATCCTCAGAACTGTAACTTTCTTGAAGAACCTCAAATTTTATAGACAGCAATTATCAAAGTGGGATTAATATATAAAATATTAAAATATTAAATAGACAAGATGGTGCCTCCAGACATTATGAGCTTCAGCCATCATTAATTCCAATCAGTATAAGCAATTGCAAGACTGGTAGAAACTATAGCACAAAACTTCTGGAATTCAAGAGTACCTACTCTTGATGTATCAAATGAAATCTCACAAGATAGAGTTGATTTTATATTTGTGTGCAAACAAGAGAGACAGTGTACTTTCAGGAGTAAGTAAATAAGTAAATAAGTCTCTTCAAGAGAGACTGTACTTTTAGAAGGTGGGGAGAAATCTCTAAAGTCACAACATTGCTTTCCCTTTCTGATGCACTCTAGCTAGCTTTATTTGTGGAAAATGGTGGAAGTTGTAATCCAATATATCTGGAGAGCAACAGATAGGCAAGATTCCTTATTATGTATGCTTCCCCTATTTTCCAAAAGCAAAGTTATATATCAACAAAATCTGTACATTTTATATAGGTTACAAAAGGAATAGGAACTCTCTAGATCTCAATGGCTGTGACTGACCATGACAAAATGTATATCTCAGGAGATGGGAAGAATTTAAGAAGAGAAGAAAGCAAATAATCACAGCCCATAAACTCAAGGCCCACAGGGCTGCCCAGGAAACAGCAAAGGACTGGCCCGCGGTGCCTCTGCCAGTGAAAACAGGCTCCTGAGATCCATTTTCACTGGCAGAGGGTTACAGAAGGCTGTCACAGTAAAAAACAGAGCTCAAGAGCCCATTTTCCCTGGCAGAGTGCTCATTCTACCACAGGCACCTCCGACATGAGTGATATCGAGCTGACCACCCCACCCCCCAGGTTAAACACAACCCTGAAGCAGCCCTCAATGAAATTGAGTTTCACACCCCTGCCATAACACAATGGCTCCGGTCCTCTCCACAGTCCAAGATGAAAATCAGTGTCTCCCACTACACCATAGTAAAAATAAGACAGTCATCCCTGAGCTTTTGATACAACTATTAATATCTGCACTGAGCTCACCTTTCTGAGCTAAGATCCAGAAACTTCTTTGGAGTTGGCTGTACTCTGGAGGTACGCTGAACATGGGCTGGTGCTGACAGGACTCAAAATATCTTGAGAGATTGGGAACGGAGCCATGCAGGCGTCCCACCTGCTAGAAGAAAAACCAATTGGTTTTAGGCACCCACAAAACCTTCCCAATTCAAATCCTTTCCTCTCCAATTCCTTACACTGATTCCTTTCTCTATCCCAGAAAAGTATCTCATCTCCAAAATCAACTCTGGCCCTTCCTAACCTTGGGATGTGGTCAATGGTCCACTATTGATCACACTGATAGATAGCAACTCTTTGGGCCCTTCATCCAGCCCTCTCTGGAGATCTGAAATTGGGATCTTTTAAATAGCAAAAAATCTCTCCATTGCTGATTGATTGCTCCTCTCACTCTATATTTCCTACCTTTATGCCAAACGCTATCTACCCCATCCCCAAACCATCTCACCCTGCCTATGGTGTCATCCTTTGCAAAGCTCTGAGTGCACCAGATCCGCGTCGATCTCTTTGCTTTTCTGGGTCTTTCTGTTCCTGTTGAGGTCTGTAAAATCAAGATGCAATCTCAAACTGTACAACCATCAAAGATCAATTCCAAATCAAAATGCTACTCATAATCTAAACTCAGGAATGCTCTGATTTGTAATTGTTACTGCACAGTGATTCATAACTGGCCTAAGTAGTGTGAAAATAACCTTTGTAGCCTTTGACCAAATATGTTGCTTAAATAGGTTTTTTTTTAATGTAAAACTTTGCAGAAAAGGAATGCCATTAACACACCTGTACCTTACCTGACTGTTTGAGATTAGAGGGGCAGAGGGAATGCGGTGGAGAGATTCCAAACTTTGTAGCATTCGGCTGAGCTCTTGAAGCTTTCCCTGACATTCTGAGAGTTCTGGAAAAAAATAGAAAAAAGAAAAAGTAGACTAGGATATAGTAAGGCAGCACTGCCTGTTCTCTCAGAATATCAAAACACCAGACAATCAGCCGTTGGAAAAGAACACCCACTGGGGGAAAATTGCTAAGGGAAGGATAAATGGATGACCTACACTGAAAACGTATTTCTCTGGCTAAATTCCCACAAGAACTTGCAGTATTCAGTGACCAAAACCTAAGGAAAATTGATTGGGAAGAACTTGTCCTCCTGTCTCTTAAGCGCACCCATAACAGAAGATATTAATGTGGGTAATTGATCAATCCCTTCATCAATTCTATTCTAATCTCCTTGTCTCTGAAGGTGAAAGTTGGCTTGGAAATAGCCAAGGCTCAAATATTGTGACTACCAGCTAAGAAAGACCTTCTGATTGATAAGAAGTTTCATTACCTGCTGAGCACCTGTCCAGTCCTTTGCTGTCACTGAGCCAAGAATTCACCTTTTCTTGGGGACTGGCTAGTGAAGATAAGGCAGGGGCACTTTCTGACATCAGTATGTGGCGCCGTGAGCTGCAAGCCTGCAAGAATGAAGCAAGACAATATAGGAAGAATGGAAACTAGAAACAAAGGAGATGAATAATTCACTCCAGTTTTCAGAATCTAGGATGGATCTTCAGCCTGTGAAATTCTTGGGTACACTGGCAAATCTGTAAAAAATGTTATCACAAAATGGATACCATAGAGAACTGTTGTGGCCCAGCAGGATCCGGTGGAGCTGTTGATGGACTTGGATAGCGAGGAACCATATGAGTCTGCCATGGAAGATGTGGAGGACCCTGGGCAGGGTTGAGACTCAGAGCAGGGATCAGAGAGGCTGGTTGGCCACCAGGAGGTGCCTGAGGCATGGAGCAGTGGGGAGGATCAAAAGCAGTTTGTCCCTGATGCTAGATTGAGACGGGCTGAGAAATGGAAGCAGCAACTCCGCAGGCAGCTTCACAGAAGATGATTAAGCACAGGTGGTGGTTGTTTGGCCCCTCCCAAGAGAGATTATAGGTGAGGCGTTGGGAGGGATCATTTGCAGGAAACAACCGTTCGAATTAGTAGTGAATAAAATTTATCCGTGTATTTTTCCGTGTCTGTTCATTTGGACTCTCTGGGTTGCTTTGTTAGGATTATCTGGGTTGCTGCAGCTACTGTATTGAATGTGAGTTGCCTGGGCTCTCAGCCAAAGGATTCGTTATCTCAGTAATTGAGCAGTGGCAAATAGCCAAGCCTGCGTTCAAGTGTATTCACAGTCGGGGGGGGGGGGGGGGGGGGGCAGATCAGAGAACATGCTCAACTACATTAAAAACTTGTCTGAGAAATTGAGTACAAAGGAGAGTTTGGATAGTACCCTAATAATGATATTGACTTCCATAAAATACAATAGTAGGAAAATGCTTCTTAACTCCAGCTTATCTTCTGAGGACTATGTGGAATTTTCCATGTCATTTTCTTAACAATAGTTTGGAAGGGATTCACTGTGAATTTGCTGGGATTTAAAAAAAAACGTGTTGCTTTGATGTCCCACTTTATAAACAGCCCTAGGATTTCCTGGTGGATGTTACCAAATACCACATCCAAGTTTTCATTGTCAACCAAGTTCGGCTAGGTCTTGCCACCCAGCTGGCAGAAACATTTTAAAAAATATTCATTTCCAAGATGAATCTTGCTGATGCTCAGAGACTCGTAGATCAAGACACACATACACACACACTTCTAGTGTTTACCTCTTCTAAAAACCACCTAATTTACTTTTTTTCTTCAAATATAGTTTTATTTGCTGGCTTTCTCAGCAAAATAGAAGCAGAATTTTTCACCCAATTTACTTCTTCCTTTTCTGGCCTCTAAGTCCATGAACAGCTCAAAAGCATTCTAGGGAGAAGAGAGGAGTAGAAGAAGGAGAGGAGATTTATTCACTGGAATAATCTACACAACTTTGACCCATGTTGCAAACAGTAATTCTTTAGATAGATGCTATACAATTTCCCTCTCTTTGCATACAAGCTACAAAAAACAGTGAGGGATACTTAAGATTCTCCATTATCACATTTCAGAAGTGATGCTTACCATCAAGCAAGAAGGCTCTATTTTACTGTACTCACTTGTGTGGGATGAGAGGCTCTGCCACCACCTGTCATGAATGGTCTTCGGGATACATGTGATTTCTCTGCTTGCCGGTGCAAGCACAGCTTTGCAACCCAATTATTGAATAGCTCTTGGGATTTTATCTAAAATAAGTGAGGCCCAGACAAGACAGCAAAACGTTAAAAAAATAAAAGCATTTGTCCCAAACATTGTGATTCTGAGCTGCAGCAGCAAGCTGCATCTTCTGCTAAAACTAATATTTATAAGGTGGTAAAAAATATCACAAATGTTTCATTTCTCCTCTCTGACATCAGCACTCTAACAATCTGTTCCTTCTTCCGATACCCCAAGTTAGTAATTGCAAATAGCTTCTTCATTCATGTAAAGGTAGGGTCAACTCTGCTAGTGAAAATTGTATCTCGAATTAGATGGGGATAGATGATATTTGAAATCTGAGGCATAAAACTGATTTCTAGGCCTTTATTTGAGAGTTGGCATGAATTTATGAGCTTCATCTTAGCATAATTCCCTGCCAAAAATTTGTGTTTTCTGATTTTTATGAGTGGCAAAAGATAGTAACTTGCTATGGTTAGGGTAGAGATAACAGTTGTCATCAAGTATTTATTTGACTTGGAAGATTTAAAAACTGCCTCATTTCAGAAACTCTGCAAAGACCATGGGAAGCTTCAGATACTTAATCATAAGAAATAAAAATGTGCAGCCACCAATTCACATAGGATCAACCTGCTACATTATTTTAAAAGCACGAGAAAATATAACTTAGAAGCTAACTCCTGCTTTTAGCAATGGATTAATACGATCAGCCTTCAAGATGCCATATACTCAACTGTGCCCTGCATGCATACGCATAAATACTTCTACCATGAATGGGCTTTAAATATTCAGTTGGGATTTGAATTCTATCTTCACAAAAGAGAACAAGTGGACTCTTTATCCTTTACCAGAGATCCAGAGAACCATAAGCAGCAGCAAACAAAATGCTTGGTGAGGATACTATTATGCCTGCTGAACTCTACAGACATATTTTAGATATTACTGTATTATTGTTCTGCAAAGCATATTCCTGCTTTACCACATGGAAAAATGTTTTGTGTAGCCAACACAATAACTTTGCAAAAATATATTTTCAGGTATAATTTGTCAGTTCAAGCCTTTCTCCATCACATACATTCTCAAACCAGTTCTCAGATTTTGAACAACGGAGAAAGGACATCTTAGCATTTGTAAGCCAGAGATTAAGGATGAATTGGCATATAATTACAGAATTCCACTGATCTTTTTTTCCCCCTTTCATCCTGGGTGATTCCATGTGTACCTTAAGATGATAAATATTCTCTTCTGTATCCAAGTCCACACGTTGGGCCTTTTTATTAACTGACATGACTGACAAACAAACATCTATGGAGCCATGTAACTTTCCCTTCAAGACCTAGAGAAAATATCACAAATATAGTTACACAGAGAAATTATATAAGTCCTTTTCTTAAATACGTTTCTCAGTAAATTAACTGCCCTCCTTTGTCCCCATCAGGATTCCTGTAAATATTGGTATATGACACTCAGTTACTACTAATTCCACTATTCTGTACTCACATCTTGGTGTGTTGTGGCATATTTCAGAATGCCATCTTCCAAAACAAAATAACGCTTGGAGAGAAAAAAAGAGAGAAAAGGGGGGAAAGAATAAATCAATAGTACTTGACTTGATTGAATAAAATCAGTAAGTTATATCATATCATATTCCTTAAAAAGTTGAAATAGTTGGACAATACAGTTTCAAAATTGCTTTTATCACATTCACTGGTTTCTAGACTACTCTTTTCCAATTCAGTTAAGGACTATGTCAGCTGAGAATTTTAGAAGTTGTAGTCACCAATTGGAAAAATTGATTTAGATTGTTTACTAAAAATGGCGATCATAAGCATGACCTATATCATAAATAGAATAATTAATATTCTACTATTTATTGTTCAGTATTTCCAATCAAAATTCTAAGCACCAGTCATGCCATTGTTCCGAATGCATATTCCATTCCTCCAGCAGTCAGTATTTGGTCTAGTAATTAAGGCACCAGGCTAGAAGCCAGGAGATTTGTGAATGCTAGGTACTTCCTTAGGCATCAAAATTGGCTGGGTAACTTTGGGCCTGTCACTCTCTCTCAGCAAAATCTAAGTCTCAGGATTGTTGTGGGAAAAATAGGGTGCAGAAGTATTGTGTAGGCTCCTTGAATTATTTATAAAAACATTAAAGGTGAGATAGCAATAGCACTTAGACATACATCACTTCAAAGTGTTTTACAGCCCCTCTCTAAGCGGCTTACAGAGTCAGCATATTGCCCCCAAAGATCTGGGTCCTTATTTTACAGACCTCGGAAGGATGGAAGACTGAGTCAACTTTGAGCTGGTGAGAATCGAACTGCTGAATTGCTGGCAGCCAGCAGTCAGGAGAAGTAGCCTGCAGTACTGCATTTTAACCACTGTATCACCACAGTATATAAATAAAGTAAATAAATACTTTAAAAGTAAATAGGTACTTTAAGCTTTTGTCCTGTTTAGATATCTTTTCTCTAAAAATTAATTCCACTCTTGAGTTTAGTCAACCACATCCCTAGATTCTTACTGCTTACACTGATGTTCACTTTTTAGGGGATTGTTCTGAGACAATTGTAAAATTAACCTGTTGTTCAACATCTTTTAAATATTCCAATAAAAAAATTATCCAAACTTTGAACACTTTTTCATTGTACTCGTTAAACTTTATAAAGCAGACTAGATTTATTGTAATTTATTTTCACAGATATGAATTCCTTAACAAATGAGGCAAGAAAGGTAATGAAATGGGGCACAATTCACTTTAGAAATATCTTAATAACAGAAACATTGGGCTCAATTGTAGTCGTAAGTCAAGGACTACCTATCTGTACCATTGGCTAGTATTTATTATTGTGATTGTGATTTTTGACCATTCCTGCTGGATTTTGATAAGCAAAGTCAATAGAGAAGCTGGAAAGAAGTCACAAGGTATAGTCACATGAGGTCTTCACTTAATGACCTGTGTAATCCTTGTTTAATAACAACAATCTGGCTTGCTGGACATACCATTGCTAAGTGGTGTAGTCACTTACAACTATGTCATATAAGGATAGAAGTCCTGGTGTTCTTAAGTGATGATGACCCTGTTATTTCGTTAGAATGATCTCAATCAATTGCAGCAGACTTTAATGCTTGGTATGGCACCTTGGACATACTTGGACTTTCCAATACTTGAAAATGAGACACATTAATTTCCATTAAGAATTATTCACAGCTAAATAGGCCTAAAATTGTAACCCCAAAGCATCCAAAATAATTCACACATATTATGACAACACTCCTTGTAAGAACTCTTGAAAGAACCATCTGTCATTTATTGGTCTCCTGATAGACTGAAGTGCAAGTCCCGGAATTCACAGAAGAAGCCAGCAGATATTTGGGAGACCAACATTCACTTTATCTCCCAGGTTCAGAAAAGCCAGAGTGGCTTGGAATTGGAGGTGTTAATTTAGTGCTATAATTATTTAATTCAGATCAGAGCGGATAGCAAGACAAGTAGGGACAACTCGGGACAAAAAGGAGCAAAGTTGCAGTTCTTCATGCTCACCATTGAATCATAGAAATAAAGTCCACTTTATTGACACCATACCTTGTGCCAGCCTTTCAAGGGCCATTTTCGCTTCTTTAGCAGGTAACCCTCCTGCCTTTCTGGCTGCTGGATGACCCCACTATGGATGTGCAAATCATCTATCACTTCCCAGCTCTCAGAACTCTATGTAAAAAAAAAAAAAAGGTGGAGTTGAAGTTTGGAGTTTATTCAATTTGTAGGCCGCCCTATTCCCCGAAGGGACTCAGGGCAGCTGAACAAAGCC